CTCTAATTTCATGAAAATAATGTCAATACTAACGAGTTAATAAATATCAATATATAGTATGTAAATTATCCTCGAAATTAACAAAAGCTCTGCCATTTGTGACCCGAGTCAGGCCATGACGTCGGCTCATAAATGGTCTGGTAGATAGATAGGTCGCGCACATTATCACCTTCGTGCAGCATCTGCCCGTATTATATATGAAAAAGCTGTCTGAAACGGAGTTTTCCCTAATTTTATTACACGATACTAATGGCCAGTCGAGCGTGTCAGGTTATTGCTCTTGGGGATGGAAATTAAACGAAAATTATCGTACAAAAGAATGAGTTCGCTGTAGATGTTTATCTCTGCACAAAACGGCGATATGAACACGAATATCAATTCAGAACACAACCAGTAAGTGATTTTAACGAACCAAGAACTTCAACCGAGCACTTGGCGAAGTTTATTTCGTACTGGGACTGGGAGGAATTGTTCGATGAAGTTAAATCTGGCAGTAATAGTCTAAATGATAACTTGGAACAAGTGGTGTAAGAGTTATATTACATATTTTGGTAAAGTCTTGTACCATGTTATAAATTTTCATTTTGAGGACTCAAGATGATTTATATTATAAAAAAAATTGGATCAAATAATTAACTAGTTGTAAGTACCATTTTGCCTTAAGACAAATTGCATGAACTTCCTGACAATCAAATAAACCAATCTTAATAAATATATTCATCACGTTTACGAATTACAAAAAAAACGGTCCGCCTTATCTTTACCATAATAATCAACGCGAATCATAACCAATATCTTTAGAACAATTTTTGAATTTTTTTAAATCGATTCAAATTTGTAGGCAAAAACGTGGACAAAATGTTTTAATCGTTTTCGCTAATTAAAACTGATATAAGCTAGTCCTTATTAGACTACATAGAATGGCTTTTAAATTTTTAAAAATATGTCCAGCCATTTGGGCCAAACCTTGACAAAAAGAACTCGACTGAATGAATGAAGAAATCGTTAATTTTTTTTGAAAGGCAGCTCCAACGATTTCGGAAATTTAATAAGAGAGTTAAAAAAATATATTTGAAGATAAAAGAAAATGGTCATTAAACGTATGCACATAACTATATCTAATAGCTATTATATATAATAGTTGCTTCACTATATTTATTAGTTATTTTATAATGCAAATAGTTTTAGACTTTCCTAAAAGTACTTTTGTAATAAAAATAAAATTAGATGACAATATAATCTAATCAGATAATTATGATACAATAGTTAAAACCGTCCGAATGAGTTTCATGTGTAATTTCAGACTGATGTCCATAAAATGAGATGTTATGTTTTTGTTATTACCGCTAACAATATTTAATTATCTCTGTTATTCACAAACTTTTTGCGATCAAAGTTTGAAATACACTTTTAATCCAATTATTACTTTATTTACATCGAGTTTTAACGACTCATTCCATAAACGAGCATCTAGTAACAATAATTTTATATTTTAATTGCCTATTTGATGAAAATCTCATTTATACGTAGAATGTACGACGGATTGATTAAACAATTTTATTTAATTTTAAATGTACAGTTTGCAATGGATTTCTCTTTTTGTTTAATAATTACATATATGCTATTTAAAATGTTTTAGTATATGTGGCTTCAAACGTCTATACGACCAATGAAAATATATTAGACATTATATAAATATTATTTATTATAATATTTCATAAAACATTTAAATTGTTTTGTTATATGTATACAAATTTTAATGATTATGTCTCACAAATTAAGTAATAGCTATATTATAACTATCTTAGAATAATCCTGGAACAAAATTTTTATAGTTATTCAAATACATATTATTACTATTTTAGTATATGTTTACAATAACAAGAAAAAATAAAGAAAAATTGTGAGAAATATGTAATGATGTAATGAATCTAGTATATTTTCTTATGTCCTATTGAAAAACCTGTATGAATACTCTCCGACGGAATACTCAACCTACAATTTTATAGAAAATAATTGCAATTTATTCAATTTTTAAATATATTTTTATAAACTTAAATACATCGATAAATTCTAGTAACAAGCCATCGACATTGCAATTGACGTCGACTTAAAACGCAATTAATATATCCTTCACACTATAATAATTATATATGAAGCTAAACCAAAAAGCTTTAAAATTCCTTCTAATAATATATTATATAAGCCATTATGTTAATTTATGGCAAGTTGCTTATTTGAATTTTCTTGAAAAAAACACGAGATTTTTAGAAAACAAATCATGATAATTTAGCCATACATTTGTCGTTTTTAGGTTTTTATCTTTTTACTCTTTTAATAATAAAATCAAGAAGTATTTTACCATTTCCCAATTCTAATTAAATGAACCAAATGAAACTTGACCACAGTCTTTTGTACATTCTTTTTAAAGAAAGGCCTCACAAAGAAAACTGATTTTAAAAATTTTGAACTCATAGCTCAACAGAAAATCGCAATTCTTGAAATCTTGTGGCACCTGTGGTATTTTATTTTTTACAATGGCCCTAGAAATGTTATTCTCGATTAAGCTTCTAAAATTTTAATAAATAAAATTAATAAAAATTAACCACAATAAACGGAAAATGGTCATAATTTCATCAATGCTTTAGGTTGCACTTGAAAGCTCATATTTTTCAACCTTTGTGCGATATACATTTTTTTCTAAATTATTTCAGGACGGTTAAGGTCAATACTATTAACCCCGTTCCAAACATAATAAAAATGGTTATGTTATAAAACTACATTAATAAAAGGTAGGCAAAACTAAAACTCTAATCTAATAGTAGGTGTATGTTGGAACTAATGTTATCCATTCCGTAGCGATTATCTCCGCAACAGTTTCTGTCAAAGGATCAAACTGTTTGGTCTCCTTAGCTCCATTAACTGACGTATATCACGTAGATGAATTGATTGGTCGTCGGACACTAAAACCGAGTTTGTGATACGAAGACAGTCATAAAATACAAGGAAATGAATTGCCGTCACATACGGGCATCGTAATTGCGTTTGCAGGTGCCAGTCAATTGCGACGACGACGGCACTTCACTTGATATAACGACGGTCCTGAGGTCTGGATATAGATAGATACACTTACATATGACTAAAATTACATTTATAAGATTATATCAAGTTGGATTTATTTGCTCTAGTTTATTAGTGGGGAATTAAAGTTTTGGGCTTTATAGCCTAAATGTGTAAGGAGGTCTCAGAAAGATTAGAAATTTATATAAACACCAGTGGCGACACGAGTTGGATATGAATTATCCATCTTGAAAGCTTTGGATAGATTGATAACATAAAACAATATATTGTAACGACAAGTCGACTTTTGCAAATGGTCACATTTTTAACACAGTTCTATACATACTTAAAATATAGTTACATAATACAAAGTTATTCTTAGTTATCAATATTCAAAATTGGTGAACCCGTGGAAAGTTCGAAAATACTAGGCCAAAAATACTGTTATCCGTTACAAGTCGTTCCCTGTACTGCCTTGTAACGGATAACACATAATGCTAATATAGGTTTCCATATTTTAGATTTTAAATTTATAACACACTGATGATGAGACAAACCTAGTCTCGAAACGTTTGTGAAATTATTATTTAATAAATTATTGCAAGAAAAGAGTGTTGTTTGTGCATATTTCTAAATTAATATTATCTATCCACTCAGAATATATATATATATATATATATATATATATATATATATTTATGTATATTTATATGTATATTTATATGTATATATATATATATATATATATATATATATATATATATTAAAATCACAAACGCCTAAAGGATGATTTACAGAAATTACAGGCTCTGTATATAAAGTAAACTGCCACAATTATAATGTTTGTCATAGTGGAGAAAGTTCTCAGTACATTTATAAAAAATGGTTCAAAATGCCGAAAATTCAAATGATCCTAAACAATTTCTATTGATCAACTATCAACAATCAATACTAATCAATCATCCCATAATACTTCATGAAGAAAAACATGTTGTCCTTAGGAAATTTGCACTATGGGTATTTATTATAAATTTTCAAATTTATTGATTACTTTTAGGATAATGTTTTTGATTAGGCAAGTTTTTTACTATTTGTAATTAATCTAAAAATATGTACAAACTTTTTAGTTCACTCAAGTCAAATAACTCGACTGCATAAAAACTTTTCTTAAAGTATTTTGCCTCAAGTTCTCTTGAACTTACTTCATCATGCGATAAGGAAAGACGCGTTAATTAACGGCATTTAATTTAACTAAATTGCTTATTTATCAAAAGTTGTCTTAATAGTTTCATATTTAAGATTAAAAAGTAGTCTCATTTAATATCACAGTACTTTTTGCAATGTGCTTGGTAGTCGAGTTATAAACTGGCGCGAATTTAGTAATTAATAAAATAATTAAATAAATTGAGTGTTTACATTGAATATTGTAACTCCTTGTTTTTGTGTATGTTGAGAACAATAATTTTCAAAAAAGCACAGTTTAATAAATAATCTTTAACTCAAATCTTACAAATTAATAAGATTGTTTAATATATAATCTTTCTCTTTCTACAAATCACAATTCAATGACAACAACCTACACAATATTATTTATAATAATTTATAAAAAATATATTCACGTCCAAGAGCCACGTTGGACACATACTAGAGTCAATTAAGAATGCCGTGAAAGATTCGCCATTGCTATTTAACACCGCAGTGCCCAAAAATGAGCCATTTTCAATTGGAAACATATGTTTAGCCTATATTTTCAAATAAAATCGGATATTGCTGCTGCACGATGTCAGGTTGTCTAGAGCGGGATTTCGAACTCAAGACCCTGCCCACACAAGACAGTGCGGTTGATCATTACGCCTTATATTATATTTTTTGCCAAATATATGCCTCATATTATTAATTATCATTGAAGTCAAAATATAGTAATTTAATCATTGTTGCAGCAAATGGAAGCCAACAGCAGTTCGGCGTCCAGGTATTGGCGTGAGTTGGGTGCAGCCTGGAACCGCAGTGCCGTCGGAATGATGGGAGGCTCGGCTGGACAATGGGGTAGGCCTTTCCTGGACTGCGGTCCCTTGCCTGGACGGTGGCTCATGCCCTATTCGGTTGCGGCAGCTACCAGACAATTCAAGTGAGTTATTATTTAGAGTGAATTTGATCTCGGCCATTGATGCAAAATTTAAAGGAGTTATATATGAAGAACACAACAATTACAAATTTATTGGACGTCATTTCCATAGGCTACAATATATTTATATAATAATGAATTAGCTGGAAGTTTTACTATACTTTGTAGTTTTCTGAGGTTTCTGAACACTGTGGTATAAAAAAATGGACGTGTGTGTGTCTGTCTATATGTATGCATGTATGAATACAATTTTTCACGATTTTGGGACCAATATACATTTTTATATACAATTTTTTACTCAAAAATTGTTCAATTTTTATTCATAGGGAGATGTGCTATTTATTTGTTAACAAATGTAGATCCAGCCGTTTCGGCAATACGGAGCTAAAAGTGCGGAAAATGGAAATAATGCTTTTGAGAGAACGGAGCATCCGATTTAAATGATTCGGAAAACATTTCACTTGCATTGACGTAATGAAGAATTGATTAATTTTTTTTACAAAGGCATAGAGCTAGCTATTTCTGAGACTCAGAAAAACAGTTTCAAAAAATTATTGGCGATCAAAAATCAGATATTTTCGACAGTATGGATTAATTAATATGAATGGGTATCAAGCCACATCAAGAAACTTCATAATTTTCAAAAAAAAAATTGTAAGGGTATTTAAAAATTTTCTTTTGTTTCAAAAGGGCCATTTTTCCAATATTCCGAAACTTTGTGTTTTTTAAATTTTTAAATATGTTCCAAAAAAGTTCAAAAATCTCAAAAGTAATCTTTTTTTCCTCATGAGTCTATAAAAATTTTAAGGAGAAGTTAAGGTACGAAACCTTGCACCACTAGTTCAATACTTGTATTATATTCATATTTAGTTAATAAAGATGATGTAAAAAGATTTACTTTGAAAATTTTATGAAAAGATAATTTAAACAAATTATCGCTTTACCAATTATTTATCATTAGGTGCACAAAATTATATTTATAACTACAGAATGCTTAATTATCGGTTATCAAAAATGTGCACTATCTATTTTATACGTATTTCAAATAAATAAAAATAAAATATATGGTTAATAAAATATATGGTTTTACTGCTTCTATATTGAACAGATATTGCAGGGTTTCAACAAAGGGTAGATAAGTTATGGAGATAAATTTGAACATGAAAGATATTACATTGCTTCATAAAACCTAGATCGCATAGCTACGCAAGCTTTATTTTAACGGCATGCCTTTTCTTTAAAAAATCAGCACAAAAGTGATATATTATTCAATCTATATTCATACACCACCCGATATAAGGGAAAGTTGAGGGAAATGTATTTATATCAGCAAAAAATATTATTTATCTGGGGTTATGTTATATTGGTAACATAATATTTTAGGTAAAATAAATGATTTAGATGTAAAAAATAAATATTTAACTTAATTATTAATTTATAATAAAAAATAAATATTTAACAATATTATGATGTATATTTATTAAAATAATTCAGGATTAACCTATGGTAATATAATATATAATTATTATATGATTATATAAACTGGTAATTTTACTTATCGTCAGTGAGTGATTTTCTAATAAGTCAATCTCAAAATCTACATTATACGAGTATATTATACATATATAAATTACGTTATGTTTCTGCCTACGTAGTCCTATAAAATGTGATTTTAATGCAATTTTGTGCATCACTATAATCAATATTATTATTGAAAATGTCGGATATCTGAATTTTATATCTATTCTCTCAATATGTTACTATATTTATTTTTAGCAATTGCCAATCAGACGCTTCTAAATTCATCCTTCGATAATGGAATTTCCTAATATAATTAACTATTTTTGAAAATGTATATTTATTTTTTGTATTGTTTTATGGATATCGATTGAATATTTTATTAACCTAAATATAGTTATAAAACATAAATATTTTATTTATTACAGGGTTGTCGCCGGCGTTTTTGTGTCGGCGGATTTAGATCAATGTGATGATCTGTCATCGGAAATGTTTGGAGGCCCACACAGATGTGACACTCTTACTACCGAAGTAAGTATATTTAGTAAAATATGAAAATATATTTCTTCAGGAGAATTTTGAGTAAACATCACAATGTAAAGCTTGGCCATGTTTTTACAAGTTTACAATATTCACATCTTTGATGCATTTAATTTATATATACATTTGATAGTCACGACTCACAAACCACATTTTCGCAATCATTTACAACTTGAATTTTTCACTAAAAATTAAATATTATTTCCAGTTACCAGTAAGGAAAATATTATGAAAATAAATTTGATTTCAAGAAATTCGAAAATAATTTATATTTTGAGCTTACAGGATTTTGTACTACAAAAATTCGTTTTTTGTAAAACTTATTACAGTTTTTCGATTAGTTTTAAATAAATGTAATTAATCACAGACATTATAAGAACGTGCAAAAGTTTCAAATAACTACATTTAAAACGTGATCGTTGTAAAAGTATTTTAATTTAGAGAAGTAATTTAGTTTGAACACTTTTTTATGAAAAAAATAGAGTAACGATATTGCAACGATATTGCAATGATAATGCAATATATTTAAATTTAGTTAGATATTTTTTTAGGGCTTAAGACATGCTACACTGTTTCTCAAAAGCACAGAGAAGTAAATGTTGTAAAGGAAAGTTCACATAATTGAAATTATGAATTGATATTGACTAAATTAATTATATTAATTACTAACGAATATAATGTATGAAATTCAGCTTGAACTCTTTTTTTTTTGAAAAAAAAAAATATTAGCGTTGTTGCAATTAATTTTAATTCAGTCTGTAATTTTTAAGGCCTAATGCATATTACACCTTTTTTTTTAAATCATGAATATATATTATTTAAAACATTCAAACAATCAAATTTATTTAAATAAGAAGAAGTAGAGGAGATTGGGTGCGGTTGTGCCAGGTTACATGACGAGCATCATAGCAGCTAAACTATACTGATTTTGCGATAGGGTCCAAAAAGAAAAGATGGAGTATGTTTGTTTAAACAAGTTTCCATAATAGCGTAATATAGGAATTATATTATTGTTTAGAGATAGATCACTTTGTTTTTTATTTTGCTCTAAGTTGAACATTAGTCGTTAATTACCTGCAATTAATTTTGTTTTATATGACATTCACATTTTGTGACAAGTATTGATTTTCCGTTTTGAAGAGAAAATACAAAAGAGAAAGAAAAAGGAAAATTCAAAACCAAAAGCAGAAAATTTTGCAAAAATTATGATGTAACAAATACAATGTCGTTGACAACAATATTTATACAAAAAACAGTATTTTAATACGCCATCAGATTAATGATGGTTTATTACATACGTATAAATTTTAAGTATTTTCCTAAACAACAAAGGATAATATGAGATTTAATTTTAAGTACAGAGGTTCCTACAAAACTGTGCTAAATTATGCAAAGATTCTGTGCATTTGTAAACATCTCTCTTGTATGTTAGGCAAGTTTCTTCATTCTTTTCGACTCCTTTTTTGTGCTGTAGGGTTTCTTTAATACAAATCGAGATTTCTTGTACGGTGCTTAAGCACGACAGTAACAAAGTGCTTTCTGTCGCGTAAACTTCACCCATTTTTTTGAAGCTTGAATTTTTAAAAACATGTGTTTAAATTTATTATTTAACATTACGTGGTTAAATCACTTGATAAAATATGCCAAAAGAATATTATCTATTGTTTAGATTTGAGTTTATTAACTAAAAATAGGGTGAGAATATTATCTATCATTTAGATTTGAGTTTATTAACTAAAATAGGGTGAGTATAGTAATCGCAAAAAAGGAAAATATTTATTATATTAATTTGCATATCTCTACGTTTTAATAAGATCTTCTGAACATTTTGGCATGTGTGTGTAAATAAATATGTATGTGTGTATGTGTGTGTGTGTGCGAATACAATTTTTCGTCGACGATTTCGGGAACACAAAATTATATATTTTTCACAGTTCTAAAAGAATACTGAATCTTTTTTACAAAAAAATAATTTTTGAAGGTAAGTTCCAGCAGTTTGCCTTAAGGCATGATGCCATCCACCACTAGTTTTAAAATATCTGAAAAATTCTTAACGTTATTTGTACTAACGTTATTAGTAACCACATTGAGAAATTACGTTACGTACGTTTAATAGAATTTTTCATATATTTTAGAACTAGTGGTGGATGGAACTTACCTTACAAAAATTAAAATTTTAAAAAAGTTTCAGTTTTCTTTAAGAACTCTAAAAAATACCGAATTTTGAGATTTATTTAGAATTTAGAGGGTAATAGGTTATAACCCTCTATCAAAATTTGTTCTAGAAAATTATCTAATTGTTGAAATATTTTTTATTATTTACTACTATGTATGTATATAACTGAAACTGATTTAATTCAGAGAAAAAAATATAATTAATGAAATATATAACCATTATAATTTTATTTTTATTTCAGTGTATCCCTGAGCTTTCCTGGGGACCTCGACGTGGTCGATACACCTGTGAATGTCTGGCAGGACATTATTTACCAGACGGTGCAACTTCTTTTCCTGGTTGGCTGGTCGAACGCGAATCACCTACAGATCACAGGTGATTTTTTTCATATATTCTACTATTTTAAAATACTTCTAAACATTATTTTTCACATATGTCATAATTACAATCGAATCGGAATATGTTGAATCAACAGCTGGGAGTTTTACTGAACATAGTCAGATATTTGCTTGTTTGATATGATAGATGATGATAGATTTAGTTTTTACAATATAAATGCTTAGAGCGAAATTAGACATTTATAAACCCCCTTCTCGCATATAAAGTTCATAAATTATTCATCTCCTATACAAAACCAGTATCTGTTAGTGAACAAAATAAATGTTAGTGAATAAAATAAACAAAATTAAAGTTAGAAATTTTCATAATTTATATAACATATCGCGAGTATCTTTTTTTGTCTTTTTAAGCAATATGTTCATATTTCAACGTAATATAAACCTTGTTTTTACATAATATGAATATTGAAAATAAAAATAATTTCTATGGAAATAAAACTGGATATCCGCGTGCAGAGTAAGAATACATAATGAATATAATTTTATTCCTTAGAATCTCGAGCAGAATACATAAGAATAATCATAACAGAAACGTAATTTTATTTAAAAGGAGCATTGTGCTTTCCCCTTAAATATTCGATAATGTATTGACTGAGCTTTATCTACAGAATTCTTTTATGTTCCTTATAATCGTAAACCTAATCTTTCCATTCAGGAAAATGTATGCATATCTTTAAACATCTCAGAGAAATGGAAATAGGCAGATCTGTTCTAATCCAATCTACTTATACTGAAGATAAGTTCTGGAGGATAATACATTGTTATCTAGAAAGACTGCCTTTGTTAGTTAATGTAATAAAATATTCAGATGTTTGTATTCATTTTTATTTTTAATGAGTAACACATCTAATAATTGACTATTACTTCGAAATTACTGCAAATCAGATATCATCTTCATTAATAAATTTATAATTAATTTATTAAAGTCCAAAGAAAACTTAAAATATTTTATCAGTTATGTATAATTATCTCCTAATTAAGAAATTATTTTAAGATTAACAATAGTCTAATGGTACATTCATAATATTGATGGAGAGATTTAATTATTTGTTGATATGAAAAATGTTCTTTAAAAAGCTTAATTCAAAATGTAAACTTGTGGTGTATGGCATCGTGGCTTGAGGCAAATTGCTGGAACTTCCCGTACCGTAACGAAATGCTCGTGTAATTTTCAAAATAGATTATTATAAATAGTGTAACATTGCCTAATATTTATGAGTTATATTAACTGAATTGCAAAGTTAAAACTATTTATTCGAGTGAGCTTTAAAACTTTAGTCAGAATAAAAATCAAAATCTGAATTATTTTTAATATACAATTTTTTTAAAAGCAATTGTTTGGTCAACATAAGCAGAAAGGTTTTTGAATCATTCAAATCGGATGCTTAGTTCTCTCAAAAACTGCAGTTTTTGCACAATCAGCTGAGTATCTCCAAAATGGCTGAACCTGCCTTTGTCAAAAACTAATCACTACATTTCCCAATCATTACAAATTGAATGTTTTTTGGATCATCATTTGGATACTCCGTTCTCTCTAAACGATTTCTTTGTATCTCCGTAACGACGCGACTTGCCTTTGCCAAAAACTAATCGGCACATGTCAATATCAATAGGAATCAAATGTTTATTGAATAATTCAAATCGGTTGATTCGCACATCTGAAAACGTGGACGAAAAGTTGCGGACACACAAAACGCACGCACACATCAATTTTTTCTGAGGTATGCCAAAATATTCAGAAACTTGTGAAACGTAAATATATGCAAAAAAATAAGTCAATTTGGCCAATTTCTATTACTTACTGTATAAATATACATATATATATATATATATATATGTATATATATATATATATATATATAGAATCTTATCATTTGATCATGTTTTTTATGGGAAATGCCATCATGCAACAATCTGCCGAAACAAATTATATTCCATTCAACTTTTCTTTATCCACATTGACGTCGGTATGATTTTGTAATACTTCAAGTTTTCTAAAACAAGGAAAGGACTTCAAGGTCGGTCGTTTCCTGAAATTAATTCGATATTAATATAGGGGTTTCTTAACCTTCCATAAATTATAATTAAATAGCGTTCTCTTGCTGCAATGATGGCGTGACTGCTTTGCATTTATTTTTCAAGGCTAATTTCTGTGTGTGTTAAATATTATGTCATTAAATTTGAAAATATTATATATTGTGTGTAGATCGTAATCTGAAATGTGAAATAATACTGGTCTACCCTCCGAATATTTGCATAATAAATCGAAGTGTTCATTCGTGCGATGTTCTACGGAATAAATTGTTATCGCCGAACCCGACCATATTGTTCGTGCTATATATAGGGCTTTAAATCGAGAGAGTTTGTACGTTTATCTTGCTTTTTATCATAGATTAGGGATTGATGAAGTCTTAAATCTGTTCTGTACATACAAATTTTAATTAAATGCATTAGGAGAAAATTGTTAACGAGCACAGAAACCTTTAGTAATTACATCGACTAGAGAGAATGCGTGGCTAATACATTATCTCTATTATGGGTCTACTCTCAATGAAACTTGCCTTGAAGGAAAATGCTACTTTCAACTAGTCTAACTTTTTTTCTGTATCTCTAAAACCGCTGGATCTGCTTTCCCAAATCTAAAATTCAATTAGTTCTTTATTCCGTCAATACAATTGAAATGATTTTTGAATTATTCTAATCGGACGCTCTGTTTTTTTTCAAATACTGTGTACTTTATGTTACGTAGTTCTAGAATTTATTAAAACTCTCCTTCGATAATTCAGGTTGTTGGGTTATAATTTAACCCTTGTAGATGTGGACTGTATTAAACACTGATTTGTTTGTATAGTATGTATTTGTTGCAGTTCTAATTACAATCACTGATTTGTTACTAAGTTATAATGAAAGAAGATATATTTATTTTTATTGGTTATTTACATGTTGTTAAGCGGACTTTACTTTTTTAAGTAAAGAACTAGTTAGTAAACAAACCCCCCTACCAGGGGTAGCAACCATTCCGTGTAAAGCTTGATGGCCTGAAGTTGGTCACCTTCATGGCCACTATAATAAAACGAAAAGACGTCCGAACAAACTGACTTGCCTTTTAGCACTTTTTGCCTCGTGTATGCAAAACGGCTGGACCTGCCTTTCCAAAAACTAATCAACACGAAATCGTGAACGAAAAACTGTATTCAAACACACATACCTACATACTAAACACACACACACAGACACATACATCCATTTCTTGTAAGGTGTTTCAAATTGTTTAGGAGGGCTTTAAACGTAAAGTTATAATAGAAATAAATATTTTTATTTTCGATTTATTTGAGATTATTATCAGTTCGAATTCAACCTTCGTACAGGTCACTTCGGGCACGCAAATAAAAATATTTAATTCTTATCAGTGTTATCTAACAGTGAGTCACAACACACCAGTGTATTGTTCGTCGACCGGTATATCGCTCGCTATACCGCTTGTCGAAACCATCGAAATTTTACATGACACTTCTACAACTAATTCTGAATTTGTCGCAAAACAAGTGAACTGTGTTAATAATGTACAACCGGAGTGTAATCAAGAATCCACAATTAATAATAAAACTAACGTAATGGAAACTGACAGTAATGTACCGCTGCCAATACCCTCTACCTCCAAGGAAGGTTGGACTACGGTTAACAACAGAAAACACAAAAGAAATAATTCCGACTGCAGCTCTGAAGGTAATTCTGTGTCAAAAAAGCTAGAAAGTAACTACTGGCTGCATTCAACATCGAACAATATCTACAATGTCTTAAATAACATTCAGCCAGAACAAACAGTGAACACCGCTGCCCCTATTCCAAAACCGCCACCGATCTTTGTTCACGGTGTCGAAAATATCAAACCCCTCACTGAATTATTAAGTGTAAATGCGCCAGGAAAATATAACATACAATTAATCAACAATACGCAGGTCAAAGTTACCCTCACAGACGCTGAAACATATAATAAAATTCTGAAATTACTAAAAGAAAAAAATACCGAAATGTATTCATTTCAGTGCAAATCGGCACGTTCGTTTAAGGTCGTCGTTCGGAACTTACACTCCAGCACAGAAATTGAAGATATCGCCACAGAATTAACAACTCATGGGCACAAAGTAATGCGAATCACTAACATGAAACACAGGTTTACTAAGGCTCCTATGCACATGTTTCTTGTCGAATTGGAACAAAATCCCAACAACAAAGAAATCTACAGAATCGAATTTATTTGCCGAACTAAAGTGAACATCGAGCCTAAGAATCCAAGTAAATCAATAGTCCAATGTGTTAATTGCCAAAGATACGGTCATACTAGAACTTACTGTAATCTGAAACCGCGCTGCGTGAAATGTGCCGGCGATCATCTCACAAAAGACTGCAGTTGGACCGATCGTACCAACAAAAACGTAAAGTGTGTCCTATGCAATGAAGGCCATACAGCCAATTACAAAGGATGCAAAGTCTATCAGAAAATGTACTCTTGCAGATATCCTCCACTGCGTCCTAAACAAACAAATCCTCCCTCCTCCTCTAATCCTATCACCTCAAACACAGTTAAACCCGGAATCTCATTCGCTGTAACTGCTCGTCAAAATAGCCAACTACAACAAGATATAAACAACACCGAAGCTATCAACCATCATCAGCAAGCTAACGACATAACAGAGTTAAAATCCATAGTTAAAACTTTAGCGGAGCAATTAAACACAGTCATGAACTTATTAACCGCCGTCGTAGCTAAACTCAAGTAATGCAACACTTCCTTCAAATTGCAGTCTGGAATGCCAACGGCTTGGCACAACACAAACGGGAATTGCAAATGTTCATCCAGCTTCACAGCTTGGATGTTATTCTGATCTCAGAAACACACTTTACTTCCAGCAGCTACATCAAACTTCCCGGTTTTTCGACGTACACAATCAATCATCCGGATGGTACCGCACACGG